GGACTGATGGATGTGGGGGGGAGGGGGGGATGGGCATGGAGGAGGGCACTTTGGGGATGAGCACTGAGTGTTATGTAGAAACTAATTTGACAATAAACTATTTGTAAAAAAAAAAAATAAAAAAATAAAAAAAATAAATAAAAATAAAAATAAGTAAAATAAAAATAAATAAATAAATCGTATTAGAATAAAACCCTGAGTATATAAATCTGGAGCTGAATTACTGATGATTTACTTAAGACTGATTTCCAAATATGAAAATGGATGTTTTGTATTTTTTCATGCTGCTTCTTTTTTAAAATTAACACCCACCACCACCACTACATTGCCCCAGAATCTCTCCTCTGATTCATTTCTAAACCACTGAGTCAAGTTATTGTTATATATGTCTAGACCATAGGTTTGGAGAATGCAGTGGGAGAAGTCAGGTATCTGGGATCAGAAAGTCTCAGTTCATGCACCAATTTACTTGTCACTGAAGTAATTCTGGCATGTTACCTGAGGTCTTCAGCCTATGTTTCATCACCTGGAAAATGGGACACTAATAGTACCTCCCTCAGAAGATTGATGTGAGGATTAAATCAGATAAAGCATGTGACAAAGGCTTCGTAAATCATCGTGCTATCTGGCAAACACCTGTTGGTATTACCTTTAGGAGAGTGACAGATTTAGACAGTTTCAAAGAAAACAGAGAAAAGCTAGTTTCCCACTCATTGGTATTTTTGATAAACTTAAAGCTTTCTTTCAAAAAATATTGTTTGAAAAAAGTGAGAACTCTAGGGAGGAATAACAACAGTCATATAGAACATTTCCCAAGTCCACCAAGCATTCGTGTCATCCTGGAGATTTTTGAAAGCTTTGGTTCACATGTAAAATTAACAAACCTAAATGTCTCCATCCACAGGCACACCAGAGAGCTGGTGAACCCAACCCCATGAAGTGACAGTGTAACAGCCCTGTGACCTGAACCTCACCCCAATGCCCTAGGGCATGTCACAACTTCCAGACCAACTGTGATTGGACCAAGCTCTTTACTAGGGAACATTTAATGATGAAGGAGAATGCTGCTAAGACACACCAGCCAGCAGAGAGAGGGAAGGTGATCCAGCCTCTATCATGGCAGAGAAGATCAGGACAGACGGAGAAGTGTGAGGCTGGGGATGAGCTCACTGTCAGGTTTGTGAAGAGATAACTAGGCTAAAAAGTTTCTGTGCAGGCATCACACTGCAGCACAATAAGAAGGAAGGAAAAGTGTCTTTTTTATGGTCTAATCAGAGGCAAAGATTAGAAATTTCAGGAGTCAACCCAGAAATCAAAGAGGTATAATGACAATGAAGCTTAAAGACAAGCATACAGGAATTCGGAGCCTTCTGGAAGAGGGTCAGCAATATCTGGGTAAGAAGTATCAAGCCAATGGGAAACCAGTGGCAAATGGGAGAGATGAAGTCTCCGTAAAGCAGGAGGCAAATGGGAAGTGTGGCATGCCCAAAAAAGTCTCAACGTGTACAGCTGGCAGGAGATCCAGAAACACAATCAAGAGACTGATCAGTGGTTGGTGATCAATTGCAAGGTCTACGACGTTACTAGCTGGGCCAACAGGCATCCAGGGGGGAGACGAATCCTCAACCACTATGCTGGGGAAGACGCCACGGTAAGGAACTCAAAGCTCTGCCTGCTCTCTTCCAGCTGGTGGGTGGCTGGGACTTGGCTCTCTTCCCAAAAGCATTTTGAATATGTGCTCAAACTCCACAATTGCTCTTCTCCTCCCAGACCAATTCTTCAGGATTCCTATCCAGCAAGAACCTGAAACCAAATAAGCCTCAAGGCCTAGCTCCAACTTTGGGATGGGCTCAGATGCTGACAGTGGATACTGTTTGTGTATTTTGAGTTTTGTTTTGTCTTGGTGTTTTGTTTTGAATTGGAGTCACTGTTTGTTTTCTAGTTTAGTAGAGTTGACACAATATTTCATTAGTTTCAGGTGTACAATATAGTGATTCAACAACTCTATACACTATGTCATGCTCACCACAAGTGTGGTTTCCATCTGTCACTCTCTTTTAAGAAAAAAGTTACAAGTGGGTCAGAACATTTTGGGAAAAATAATGTCTATGTCCAACTAGAAATTTTCAGATTCTTATAAATGGGGTGTGTAAAAGAAAGAGAGAAATTCATCTGATAGGCATCAAAATGTTATTAATAACAATAATACAAACCTACAATTAAGGATAGTGCTTTTCTAATCCAAATCACAGAATCAGCTCAGACGATGTGTTGGCAAAGATGCAGGTCATCAAACACCTTGGAAATAACTGATAAACTCACTCAGCTTGAGACAGCTGAGCTGATAAATCTAACTTTCTGATGATGTTTATCTCTAAGAAGTTAGGAAAAAAACATGACTCCATATCCAATTCTAGCCAACAAGTAGCAATTAATTAATAAAATAAAAACCATCAGGACTTTAGGAGAAAATATCCATGCCACCTTGAAATTCATATCATAAAGATGAAAATCTTGAGCATGTTCAACCGTGTACCCTAGACTTTATGTAAGTAAATCCAAAAATGTTCAGAGAAAAGATTTTTGCAAAGGAAGACGGCTCAAGAAGAATGAGAGGCTTCAGAAGAGTTCTGACAAATGTAAAACTCCATAACTACTCAGAATCTGAGGAGCCTTGGCTAGCAACTGGATAGTGAACGTGGGAAAGTTGTTGAAATGCTCACAGCCTCTGTTTCATCGTTAGCAAAATGGACATGACCTTACCAATCTAACTGGTTTATGGTAAATGGGACTAATGCTTGCAAAGTGTTTAGCACAATGCCAAGCACTTAATAAAGTTTCATTAAATTTTAACTATTATGATTTATCTCACTGGCATCCATAGCCTCAGAGGTGTGATTATTATTTCCTGTTTACCTCCAGCTTAGAGATCTTGATTATATTTGGTGTCATCTGATTGAGAACAGAGGGACCCATGGTGGAGAAGCATCATGCTCTCTAGTGAAGGAGGGCAGAACAGAAGGGACCTACAATCAGAGGCTTACTCTACAGCCTAAGAGGTGTTTGCAGGGTGTGCCCTGAAAGGCAACTGTGGACCTAAGAAAAGTATAGTCTCTGTAAGCTGGCCTTCAACCTATGGCTGCACCAGCCCAGATGAGAGCACTGCTCTTTTATTTACATGGAAACTCTCCTTCAAGCTTCCACCCTCCTTATGAAAGGGTAATAATGATAGCCTTTCCCACAGGATCATTAATTCACTCATTCATGTAGTCAGCCTTTCTAAAATGCTTGTTAAAGGCCCAGCATAAGATTAAGAGTACAGGCTTGGGAATGAAAAGGCCTGATTTGTGCCGAAGCTCTACCACTTGCTAAGACTGTCTTGAGGAGGGTGCTGAAACTCTTGAAGCCTCGGCTCTTTTATCCAGAAAGTGGGGATAATAATACTTTCCTCTTAACCTTGTGAAAGTCAGTAGTACGTATGGTGTTTGGGACTGATTAGAAACTGAAAAGATGATAGTGCTTTAGTTTTATTATTCCTTAGTTCTTCTGAGATGAGGTCTAATTCTCTCCAAAGAAAAGATTCCATAAAACAAAATTGGTACATCAGCCCCTGTTATTTCCCATCTGAATTGTCTGATTGTTTTTAAATGATATGATTTAAAACTAATGACTGAGTGCTAAGCATTACAGTCTGGACCCAGTCTTTTAATCTGATGAGAGTTTGTTGGGGAAAAGCCAGAAACAAACTGTAAGCCCAAGAATAACTGATTATATAGTTATCAATTTATCCATATGATGGGCTGTTTTGCAATTATTAAATGAGGACGACAAAGCATTTGAGGACAAGACATGCAAATGAAAAAATATTTGGCCACAAGTTTCATGTAAGGCAATAATATGTTCCGGGACATGAAAGGAATAAATGCAATCTTGTGATGCATATACATGAGCAGCATGTCCAGAACAAAGAAAGTAAGTTAAATATCCTGTGTCCTGGTCAACTCATTTCTGATCTTTGGACACCACACTCTAAGTAGGACACTGAGAAACTCAAGTTCTTTCTCATGAGGGTCAAAGGTCAATATGACAGGGAAAGAATGAAAAAACTTAGAGGAAATAAAGAAAAGTCTATCCAGCTATTTGAAGGACTACCATGTGGAAGATAGGAGAGCTATATGCCATTCCAAAAGGATGGCATGGAGCCAATGGAAGCAAAGCAAGGGCAGGAAGAAGAGAGGATGTGCACAGAGGTGGAGTGAAAATAAGATTCCCATTAGGAGTAAACACCCAGCCAGAATGGGCATCCCAGCTTTGCCACTTTGGCACCTAGTAAGTGCTCAGTTAGTGTCAATGACTATCAAGGCATGAGGAAGAGAGGATGAAGTGACAGGAGAGAAAGAGAAAACAGAAAGGGGAAGGAGAGAAAAGGTGTTGAAATCTGAGCCATGTCTCCGTCTTCCTCTTCCATGACACATAATAACACTTCTCTAGTCATCATCTCTCCTCACCCCCAATCACCACAGCAAAACCAACCAGGATTTCTAAGGTGTTGGTGATGAAAGTAATAATCAGTAATAGTAGTTGCATCTTCTCTGGGTTGTCACCATTTCTTAAATAATCTGGTCCTCAGTGGAACAATGACTAAAGTAGAAAATAGGTGGAGAAGTAGAAAGAAGGGAGGGTAGAGTAATGGAGTAGTGGAGTAGTGGAAAATAGGTGGAGAAGTAGAGAGAAGTGGAGAGTAGAAGAGAGAGAGGGGTGTTGAGGTGCTAACGGGTAAATATGGGCCATGAGGAAATGCTTTCTTTCAGAAAGACCAGTCTGGCACCTAAGTGAAGGTTGAACTGAAGAGTCAGCCAAAATTAAGGAGGAAGCCCAGGGAATATGTTAAAGATCTGAACAACGCATTGACCACAGGAATGAAAAAGAGGGGGTGGCTGCCAAGGATGTGTAGGAGACATAATTTATAAGATGTAGTAAGTGATTGGTTGAGTAATCAGGGAGAAATAATCTGGCTGACTTGTGCATATGTGACATAGGGAACGGAATGGCTATATCCATGACAGAACAGGGAAGCCAGGAGGATGAGCAGGTTTGGGAGGGAGATCAGAGAGAAAGAGAGAATTGGGGCTGGAGCTCAGCAGAAAGTATCACAGAAAAAATTTTGGTATAGGGAAAAGCTTTGAAATAATGAAAGTTCTCAAACAATAAAATGAGTTGCTGTGTAAAAATAGCCCTCTGCTTATTCCTATGGGTGAAGGGGAACCTGGGTAACTTCAACTTTTCTATTCTGAAAAGGCTTTCTCCCAAATAAAGGGCAAAGACGGTATTCTCCTAACAAACTGACCTATTCACAACTCATGCACTACCCAGAATATGAGGAGATTTGTTCTAGCCTTTGCCCTGGAGCATATGAGACTTGAGAAGGGTAAGCATAAGAGAAATTACTCAATGATGTGGGAATGGATATGCGGTTGGGTGTTGACTACTCTGGTGAACTTTTCTGAGGTGAGTAAATAGAAATCCATGTTCCAATTATCTTGTTTTGTGATTCTGTGTTTGTGTGTGTACACATTCACCATTGGTGTTTTCTTTCCTGAATTTGGGAAGTTTCAACCCACCCCAGGCAAACTAATGTTAATGTTAAAAAGCAATCGTTTATTGATTTATTTATTTGGTCTGATTTCCAAAGCCCCAGCTCTCAGCCACTAGGCTAGATCCTCAGTAAGGTTTTAGAAGGACTGAATAAATGAATGGGAGAGTTAATAAACCCATTGGGCAGAGTGGGTGCCATTATTATCCATATTTAGAAGAAAAACTGAGGCTTGAGAAATAAAGTAATTTGCCCAATATAAAGCAGCCTTCCTCACTACCCTGCACTGTGCCTTAATGCGAACTAGGAAGGCACACTCCTTCAGTGGTTGTAGCACAAGATTTGGCAAACAGAATGCTTGCTGGATTTCAGCCCATGCACACCCTCCTGTCTAGGTGCCTTTGTGAAAGGCACAGCCTCTCAACAGTACCTAAGTTGTAAAGGCAGGGTTAGTCAGAAGGACTTTCCATAATTTTCTCTTCCTGTGCGGATCACACTTTTACAATAAAGCACATCTCTCCATCTCCCATTGAATAACAGCAAAGAGTTAGCAGGATTTCTAAGCTATTTGTGAAAGCGAAGTAATAGTCTTTCCTGTGTTGATATTGTTTTAGAAATAATCAGTTTTGGATGAGTGTTGGTACAAATTTATGGGTAGATTAAGCAGGATTTTGGTTGAGAAGGTAACCAAAAGGCTGCCAGGTAAAAATGGGAGATATTGGGTAGGGAAGATATGCTGGTTCTTAAGACCTGTATCCTCTGAACTCAACATATTTGAATGTTTCTAACTTTTTCCTTGTTGGAGAAATCCTATATTCTCTTCATTCTTCATTCTATATCCTCTTCATTCTTCCTTTCTGTATTCACCAGGCGTCCACTGATAATATGCCATATTCCAGGAAGAGTGAGACAGTAGGCATAATTTAATCAACAACACATGGCCTTAGCCTTCAAAAATTCTTAAATACCTAGGAATAAATTTATCCCAGAAGGTGAAAGACCCACATACTGAAAGATACAAGACATAAATGAAAGAAACTGAGGAATATATAAATAAATGGAAAGACATTCTATGCTTATGGGTTGGAATAATTAATATTGTAAAAATATCCATACTATCCTAAACAATCTACAGGTTCAGTGCAATACTTGTCAGAATTCCAATGGCACTTTTCATAGAAATAGAATAAACAATCCTAAACTTTATATGGAAGCATAGAAGACCCCAAATAGTCAAAGCAACAATTAGCAATCTTGAGAAAGAACAAAGCTGGATTTCACTACATGCTACAAAACTACAGATGAATGGATAAAGAAAATGTGACACAACACACACACACACACACACACACACAGAGGAATACAATTCATCCATTAAAAGGAATGAAATCTTGCCATTTTCCCCAACATGGATGGACCCAGAAGGCATCATGCTAAGTGAAATATGTCAGAGAAAGACAAATGTCATATGATGTCACTTACATGTGGAACCTAAAAAAGAAAACAAAAAACCAAGCTCATAGATACAGAAAATGGATTGGTAGCTACCAGAGGCAAGAGGTATGTGGGAGGAGAAAAGGGTGAAGGAGTTCAAAAGTACAAACCTCCAGTTACAATAAGTAAGTCATGAGGCTATAATGTACAGCATGGTGACTATAGTTAATAATACTGAACTGCATATTTGAAAATTGCTGAAAGATGAAATCTTAAAAGTTCTCATCACAAAAGAAAAAAAATATGGGGGCGCCTGGGTAGCTCAGTCAGTTAGGCATACGACTTCAGCCCAGGTCATGATGTCATGGTTCGTGGGTTTGAGCCCCGCGTCAGGCTGTGTGCTGACAGCCGGCTCAGAGCCTGGAGGCTGTTTCAGAGTCTGTGTCTCCCTCTCTCTCTGACCCTCCCATGCTCACGCTGTCTCTCTCTCCCTCTCTCTCTCTCTCTCAGAAATAAATAAAACACTCAAAAATGTAAAAGAGAGAGAGAGAGAGAGAAATTGTGGTAACCATGTAAGGTGACAGATGTTAACCAGACTCACTGCGGTGATTATTTTGCAATACATACAAATATCAAATCATTCTGCTGTACACTTGAAGCCAAAATAATGCTATATGAATATTATACTACATTTTACAAAGAAACACAAAAAGACCAGCAGAGAAGGGGCAAGTACACAGCTTCATTACAATATAATTTGAAAGGCTATAGAAGCTAGAGGAGCCCAGAGGAAAGAGTAAATAACTTTCCTGAGTTATGGGGAGGCAATTTTTAATCTGAATCTTGAAAGGTGAGGAGGAGTTTTTATAGAAAGAAAAAGGAGGAAGGTGGTCAAGACAAAGGAAACAGAATGTACAAAGCTTCAGAACAATAAATAGGCATGGAACGTTTATTGAATGGGGAGAGGTCAGGTCTGGTGGACAAGATGGTTCCTGAAGGGTAATGGTTAAAGGTAAGCCTGGAGAGGTCGGTTGGAGCCAGAGGCAAAGTGATTCAGGGGATTAAGACCTACTGCGGAGAGACATCATTACTATCTGCCCAGCAGATACATACTGATTTTAGCATCATCCAAACAATCTGGCATCACTTCTCTCTTAAGAGGCCTTTCGGAAAAGGAATTATACATGTTATGAGTGAAATAAATCTTTATAGCTTCATGGCTTTAAAATCACATAGGTTTCAGTTCAAATCCGGGCTTTAGTATCAACCTATTTATTGTGGCATTTTGAACAAGACGTTTGTCTCCTTTGAGACTTGGTATCTTTATCTTTACAGCAGAAACAGTGGAATCTCATAGATCCAAGGTGATGGTTATGAATTGGCCCAGGAAAGGATATGCAGGATATGCTCAACAGACGTTAGAACTACCCCCTCTTCCTTTCATTTTACCCACTCTCCTTCCTTCATCAGGAATACACTTGCCCAAGAGTGTTGATAATATAGCCTGTTTTTACAGGTCTTCAAAAAGAGGATTTCACTACTTCTACAATATCCAGACTTTACTAGGAAATTCTTTTACATCGAATATCTAAGACTACCTAAACTCCTTTGTTGTACTGCTCATCAGTACAATGAAGAGGTCCACATAGCAGGGCAATGCCTACTATGCTGGAAAACTCTGTTTAGGATCTGTTATCACAGTTTTGCCTGCAAATCTTGCTGGGAATCAGAAAAAACAATGAACTCAAGGTTACTGTCAACACACTGTTTCAAGACTCTGCAAGACTGCTCAGAGTAAAACAAAATTTCAGTGGCTTACCTTTCTTCTACACTCTTATCTTAATCCATCAGAAAGTATTTCATCCTAATCTGCTCTTTAACAAGTAGAATATGATTTCCAATATGAATCATTCTGAAATACTTTAATTCCCTTCTAAATCACTGTTATGGCTCTCTTCCTGGCTCAGGAAACTATGTTTTAGACTTGCAGAATGTGACAGTTAAAAAACACCTTTGAAATTATATAGTGCAGAATTTTCCAAGGGGGTCAAAGGAAGTATGCAGAAGCAGAATGGACAGTAGAGACTGGACTGGTTCTAGCAAATACAAAATCCTTTTTACATCATTGAACATAGAGATTGTTAGGAGAAGTAAGTCTAAAGAGTTGATACTGCACCCTTCTAATTAATATTATTCATTATATAAACATCTTTTTTTTTACTGTTTTATTTATTTCAGAGAGAGACAGACAGTATGAGCAGGGGAGGGTCAGAGAGAGGGAGACACAAAATCTGAAACAGGCTCCAGGCTCCGAGATGTCAGCACAGAGCCCGATGCAGGGCTCGAACCCACGAACCATGAGGTCATGACCTGAGCCGAAGTCGGACGCTTAACCCACTGAGCCACCCAGGTGCCCCTATATAAACATCTTCTTATAAAGCAAGATTCTATTTAGTTCTTAGATTTTTCCAAAGTTCCTTTACACTTTGAAGATGGGAGATTCATCATATTCACTAAAACAATTCAGATCATACCACATTAGGCTTTAGAGAATATGAAGAAAGTCTTTGAGTTGCTATATTGAAGAGTACGCAGGTAGTAAGTTTTTAGCAGTTGAAGTATATATGCAAGAAAGATGGCTAATATGTTGACTTGATTAATCCCTACAAAAATTTTATGAATTGCTTGACTATTACTATCATCTTTATGTTAGAGAAAATAGAAGCACAGACAAGTTCAAGAAACTTGTCCACAATTCCATAGCTATTAAGTAGAAACCAGAATTTAGGTGCAGGAAAACCACTCCAATGTCCATTGTCTTAGTACTATGGAACACCAGTGCTTTAAAGTCATATGTATTGCTTCCACATATTCAAGTTATAATATTGGCTGTGTTTCCTCATTTTTGATTACTCCTGTTCACAAATCTGCAATAGCAGAAAGGCTGAGATCTACCTCTTGGAGAATTCTCCTTCCCTCTAATCTGTTTAGCGTGATGGTTGCTGCATGCTTCTGTGTGAGCAACTTCCACCAAGCCTGATGTTGGGTTTGAAAGATTCACCATGGCTCATGAACTCAAGGAAATGAATTCTTTGGGTGCTCAATAAAGTAAACAGTGACCTTTTCCAATGCTCAAGAATATCCTGGCTGTGGTGGGCTTGTCTAATGAAGCAGTGCATCAAGTAGGTGGATCTCCAGCATGAGGTTTTCATAGAGTATTTACAAGGGTAATTTTGATTATTCAACTTGAAGCATCAACCTGGAGTTAGAAGAAATCCTAGAGTCTGCTGATTCCCAAGATGGGCACAGGATGAGGTAAGGAAGGGAGCTCTTCTGTAGATAAGCATGTGTCTCCTAAGCCTCTAATAATTCTCTGTGATTTACAGGATGTATTCAGAGCCATGCACCTGGACCTTGACTTTGTAAAATTGTACCTTAAACCACTTCTCATTGGAGAGCTTGCCCCAGAAGAGCCCAGCCAGGAGAGAAACAAAAGTGTGAGTGGGGTCTCAGGATCCAAAAACATGTGGAAGGATGGGGACAAAGGCCAGTTGATCATTTCCTGACATATCCAAGTATTTATCCTTTTTTGTGAGAAACTCACCATCATGCCTGGGTGAGCCTGTAATAGCAAAAATGAGTAGTTTCTACAAATTACAAAACAGTGTCATCCTCCTTAGACATTCAGAACCATTAAACCTTTGTGTAAGAAGGAATGAGTTGTCTGGTCCCACAGCACACAGAAGCTCTGTGTCTCTAAGTACCTCCTTTATGCCAGGCAACTACCAGATACAATTTTTGTCCAGTTACTGCTTAGAACTGTTTGAAGTCTGTGACTATATTCACTGTTAAAGTTCCATGAAAGCAGCTAATATGTATATTATCTCTGTGTCCTCAAGAACCACCTGCACAGGATCAGACATGTAGTAGGGACTCCATAAATAGATATTAAATGAAAGTTGTGAATATATCCTAACAACAGCCCTTTTTACATTTGGTGAAATTATAGTCCAGGGAAAATAAATTACTTTCTGTAGGTCCCATAGCTGGTGTATCAAGGAACCTGGATTCCAAGTCACTTCTTTCTGGCCCCAATCCCTCAGGCATTCCCAAGGAAGGGTGCCACTCTTTCTTTCTCTAATACTTTGGCTACCTGAAGTACTGGCTTCCAGAGGACAGGGTTTTTGTAAGGTTAGACATTCACTAGAATGATTTTACATAATGCTTAAAGGGATTTTGACTAATACTGAGCATTTCTTCTTTTTTTTTTTTGAAATTTGTTTTCTTTTTTTTAAAAAATATTTTTATTTATTTCTAGGAGAGACAGAGAGAGAGACAGTGTGAGCAGGGGAGGGTCAGAGAGAGAGGGAGTCACAGACTGAAACAGGCTCCAGGCTCTGAGCTGGCAGTCAGCACAGAGCCCGACGCGGGGCTCGAACCCACAAACTGCGAGATCATGACCTAAGCGAAAGTCGGACACTTAACCGACTAAGCCACCCAGGCGCCCCTGAAAGTTGTTTCCTTAAAACTGCTTACATTCTGTGCAATTCTTCTGAAATAGCTTTTACCAAATATTGATCTATATATCACTGTAAGGAGGATAGAATAAGGATTATACTTCTGCTTCAGGAAATGAGGAAACATACTCACTGGGGAAGAGGTAGATTCTGAAGACACATAACAGATTTTGTGTAGACCTCAGACAAACACTTAGGCTCATGCCTCAGGTCCATGTGCATCCTGCACAGCTATGTGTCAGGAAACACAGCCCTGTATTTGGCAATGAGGGCTCTGAGAGCACACAGCTTAGATTCACAGCCCAGCCTTGCCACAGGTTGTATGGATTTAGGCCAGTCCCCTAACGTCCCCATTGCTCAGTTTCTCTCTCTAAAACAGCAACAACAGTAGCACCAACTTCCTACGAGATATTGGAGGATTATGGAAAGAGTTAAAAGCACTTAAGGGGCTTAGAACAGTGTCTAGAAGATAGTAAATGGTCAATAGAATGTAGATACTATCATCATGAACTCACTCGTGGCACCAGCAATTGACAAACCTCCAGATATGTCCCCATCATTTAGAGCAGGAGGTTCTATAATCTGATGAAAGCTTAATTGGTTTTCCTAAAATGCTCTTTAAGGAAAAGAACATCCACTTATGGTTAAGAACTATAAGACAACCATTAGTTATCTGAAAGAATATTGGTTTATGGGGGGAAAAGTTCTGCCAAAAATTTTCTTTAGTACGTCTATGTAGATACTGAGATGTGTGTGCACGCATGTAAAATAATACATATATACTCAGATATATGTGTATAAACAATCAGTATGAGCACAACACTTGTGTCAGAGCATAACTTGAATTCCTGCCTCTATCACCTACTCGCTGATGATTTCAGACCAGTGCTCTTCTGAGCTTGCTATCCCCTTACTCTGTACAGTAAATGAGTTGGAAAGGATGACCAGGTTGGCAGGCACTCTAGAGATGGCCTCTTAAAGTTATCCATGGCCACCAAAGTTCCAAAGTTGATGGGGTCTTGAGAGACGACCCCAGGAAATAGATCTCTTAAAAGGTGAATCAGTGAATTTTGAAATGAAATTTTTTTATTCTAGATTTATGTGCATATGTTTTCTTTTTATACTGAAAATTTCTTCCTTTCATGTATCTGAACAAATCCTGCTCTCTTTCTTATACTCTGACATATTTCATTATGTGAACTGCCCTGGTTTCAAACCCATTCATTAGTCATTAAGCAAAGAGGTATTTCTTTTCAGCTCTTGCACTGCCTCTATAGTCTTACTGGCAAGCTTGTAAACCAATACTAGCCTTGCTCATGCATCCACATGCACATATTCATATTACACAAACACAGGACCAGGAAACTCCCACTCCTGCAACACATATCAGCAGATACATACTAATGCCAACAGAAATCCTGCCCTGTTTCTAGGGGTCCATCAATCAGCTCACAAGAAAGTCATCCTTTGATCTAATCCAAGCGAACTGCATTTTTCTATGTTCATCATCTTTAATGAAAGGGCCCTTTGCACATACTGAGCTGCTGTTGATGTGGAAGATTCTGTGTAAACTGAACCACTTACTACTGTAACACAGATCCATATAGACAACACAGTTCCCCAAAGTATAATTGGAGATCAATCAATCAATACCCGAAATAATACCGATGGTTTAAAAGGCAACTGTTAGACACAATAACCATCCTCAAACTCCCCTCCAAAAAAACCCTCTAATTCTGAGCTAGAAAATAGTTAGAAGACAGTTTACAAACTACTACTCACCTTTCTCTTCTCCAGAAAAAAAAATGTTATCATAACTTTTTAAAAAAAGTTTTGTTTGTTCATAGTTTTATGTTTTTAATTTTGCTCAATTAAATGTATTAATATAATTAAATTTGTATTTATAAAATTAAGGTATTAATAAGGTAATAGAATGGATTATTGTGTTCATTGGTGATCCTTGAGGGAATTAATTCCTTTCTTGAACATTTATTTCTTAGCCCCAGTTGGTGAAAGATTTCCAAGAACTGCGGAGAACATTAGAGGCCATGAACATGTTCACTGCCAACCCAGTGTTCTTCTTCCTTCACTTCATCCAGATCTTGATTTTAGAAATACTGACTTGGTTAATGGTGTGGTATTTTGGCACCGGCTGGATTGTGACAATATTCAATTCCTTCCTTCTCACAATTTCCCAGGTAAGCATGTACCCTAAAACCAACCAGTGACTTTAGGGGAAGATTCAGAATTGTTTCCTTCTCCCTTTCGACTTGTCCCAGCTGCTGCCTGACACTCCCTGGCAAGCTACTAATCAGCATCTGACACCAGCAAGTTACCACACCTTGCAAGACCCCGGTCTTTTGTCTGAAAAATGGGGATAATAATTTTTATGGAAATATTCTCTACTAAACAAGTTATTGTGAAAACTCCTGGCATAGTGACTGGCACAAAAGAAGTATTTAATCTATGACAGGTGCTAGTCTTATCACAATTTTATCCATACCAGTTCAGTAACTTAAGTCATTTCTCAGCCATGTAACACTCACCTTTATCTTTTATTCATCTTACAATGAACAGAAAAAAAGAAAGAGGTAAACCAAGAAACAGAATCTTAAAAATAAAAAATGAACTGGTGGTTACTATAGGAGAGGGAGTGGGTGGATGAAGGAATATGTGATGGGGATTAAGGAGTGCACTTGTCATGATAAGCACCAGGGGTTGTATGGAAATGTTGAATCACTATATTGTACACCTGAAACTAATATCACACTTCATGTTAGCTAACTAGAATTTAAATAAAGCTTAAAAAAAGATTGTATGGATTCCAACATAAATGCCAATCAACTACCGAGGCATAGCAGAAGATCTGACCAATCTTTGTTAAATGAAGTGTGAATCTGTAACCGTGGCTTTCTGTGAGCACCATGCTGTGTTGTGGACATGAGAGAAAATGTGTCTGGTTCCTGCTCTTGGGACAAGAGTCTTCCAGTGGGAGAGATTGATCAAGCTGGTAAACATACTACATGACAGAATGACATTAATGCCAAGGAGGGGAACAAACATGTGCTGTTGAAGCAGAAAGAGGCATTTAATTCTAATTGGAATAACTGCAGAAAGTTTTATGGAAAATTAATGTCAAAGTTAATTCCAGAATTTATGTTAATTTTTTGTGAAGTCAACTTGCTTTATTCCCTGAAGAGCAATTATTTTGGAAACTGGAAAGGAAACAAACGTTTGTTTGGTGCTTAGCATAAGCCAAGCACTTTGTAGGTATTTAAGTTGCCCAACAGTCCATGACTAAGATATTATTATCCCAACTTATCAGATGAAGAGCTACTAAGTAACTTGCCAAGATCTGTGCAACACATACATGGTGAAGAATGGTTTAGAACCCACATCTGCCTGACTCCAAAAACAATACTCTTTCTACTCCTCACTGGAATATTATGACAGTGACAAAGAAAATGTTCTAAGCTGACAGAACTCCATGCACAAAGGCATACAAGTGAGAAAGAACACCTTGTGTAGGAAGCAGAAAGTGAACTTGGCTTTGAACTAGAAGAAATTGCCCCACCGTTCTTCTCCAATGGGCTACTGAATCTATAAGTGGGCTCATTTATTAATTTCCCTTTGGATCCTAAACTTCTCTAACAATTTCATCTCTTCTAGCTTCAATCTTCATTTCTGCAGCATGACTTGGGACACCTTTCCATATTTACAAAGTCCAAGTGGAACCATCTGATGCAAGAAATTATGATGAGTCATTTCAAGGTACAGGATGTTCATGGAGCATGATGGGATTTTCAAACAATTTCCTAAGACAGTGGTTACCAAGTTTGTTTGTGCAGTCATATTAGCAAAAAATGTTTGTGCACAAATAGATTTGCAAATAAATGTAAATATGCTAACAGTGTAGATACTACATATGTACTAATATGTAATATAACATTATAATACATATCAAAATTAGGATTTTAAATTATTATAAGGAAAGATTTATTTTTATTTAGGAAGTTCCAACAGTTTTTCTTCCCTTAAGAAACTCTTTGGTCCAATCCTTGGCATCCCATTAAGAAACCACTTCATAGGAGAAGGACTGTGCTTTTATAAATGAAGAGGTGCTCTGTAAAATAAGGAATGGGAATGTTCTTAGAAAAAGTCTGAACATGTACTCCTGGGAAGCAACAGGAATTCAGCAAGCCTGATTAGTCCTGGAAGAATAGGGCTATGAAGAAATAAAGGGAAGGATGCAGAATACATAAAAGTGAAAAGAAAGAGAAAGAGTGGCAAGAAAGATCAGATGGCACTGTTCAAGAGTCAGACATTGCACATCCCAGACTGCGGGAAAAAGCAGTGGCGATGATGGCAGTTGTTCTTGCTCTACCCCTGCCCGAAGTCCAGGAGGGCAGGTGCTTGGTAGGTCCTATGAGCCACTGCAGTGCAATACCTAACAGAGTGCCTGGTACATAGTAGGCCTTCAACAGCATTTGCTGAGTGATGGTTGGATGGATGGATGGATGGACGATGGATGGATGGATGGATGAACGAACCAAGGTAAGAGTACAGAACTGCCAAGAATGAGTTCTAGCTCTGATTCTGACAAGGCCCCCTGTTCGATCTTGACTGAGTCATCTTCTACCTCTCACTCTCAGTTTTCCTATCTGTAATATTAGGAGATAAACTGGATGTCTGTTTTTCTATGACATTCTAGGATTTAGTGACTCTGTACTCTGGCCCAGATGGGGTGAAATGCTTCTGAGCCTTCCCTAAGCCAAATCATGCATTCAAGCCAGCTCACTTTAGGAAAAACTCATAAGCATTGACTCAGAACCGACTTGTTTTGCCTTAATACAGTGGTTTTATATTGAACTGAAAGATATTTAAAATCAGTGTTATCAACCCTCTTTCCAGTTAAGCAAGCTAAGTAAATTAAGTAACACAGAGTTAGATCTGGATTCATATTAGAATGATATCTGTTCCTCAAAATGGTTAGAATGAATAACATAATGTCATTTTATGTGATAAGTTTCATTTAACTGGAATATTCCTGTAGGTACACAGTTCTGCCCTCTATGTACTAGTGCTAGGTTGATAAGTGTTTCTGTACCCCGTCAGAAATGTTTACCACAGAATAAAAACAAAAATAGTTTCTTATGTCCTGATGAGAATTAAGGCAATGGGCCCTCCCCCTCTCCCTCCCATGTTTTGAGGAAAATGAAGACTCATGTGCCCTGGAGGTAATTGACAGTTGACTTGGTGCCAGTATATGTAATATTTCAAGCTCCACCCTTGCTGGTGCTTTTAAAAATGTCACTGCTTTCCCACCGGTCCAAATTTGTACACAGCTGTCTCTGTACAAATTATGTTGCCAGAAACACTTTTGCATTAGTTGAAATGAATAATAACCTTGACGACTCACTTTTTGCAGATAAAGCCAGTGATTTGTGAGCAAAATGAGTGTAGGCTTCAATCACGTACAGCATAGGAAACTACCTGCAGGAAGGAAAGGTGAACAGAAGGGAGGTAACAAAGAAAATTGTAATATAAGCAGCAACAACTTCACCTTCTACATACATCACAATTTTAAACTTCAAAACTTGACTTGCTATCAATGTACCCTTGCCCTGAGGGTTTTTTGGCATTTTCACTCACTAGCTATGTTGGTAATTGTGTATGTCTGATCTTTGCAGTGTTTGTGCAATACAAGTCCTTCTGAAAGCACACCATGAAATATCTGCACATATTTTGGACTTCTGTGCAATGTTCCAATCAAAATGGACTCCCTGTAGCATATTTTTCAACTCCCCCTCCCCAAGACCCAGCATGCACAGTTTGAAAACTATAAGAATCAAGTATTATATTAGAGACAAAGAAAACATTTGATATTAAGACCTGCTTTGAAAATCTGGCCTATCCTCTTTCCATGACTACATCCTAAAATAATTTGGGAGGGTGGGTGGAGGAGTTTCAAACATGTTATTTCTTATAATATTTTTCTCATCCACTTCATAGATGAGGAAATTGTCCAAGGCCATGCACACCCAGTAGCAAGGCTTTGAATTCAAGCCAAAAAATGGCTTCAGACCAGTTTGGATTTCTTATAATGCACCAAGAAAGGATCTAACTTGTAAATGAGGAATGACCTAGAATGGCTTCTGTATGGAATTTGGTGCAGGAGAAGCCTGTTTGCATGTACCTGATAATCTTCACTTCCCAGTGGATCACTCTACCCTTTGCCCCTAGTGATTGTGACTTCCAGACTGAGGGGTGAAGGTAGAGCCAACTGCTTTAGATCACGCCCATAATTACTCTGGTCACTGTTCTCTAAGTTCCAGGATCTAGAACGCTCAATCTTTTCCCTGACCTATCACGAATCGAAATGTGTCTCTCCTATTACCAACTTCCACAGGTAGTCATCGACTGCAAGAGTACAGTTAAAATTTTGGCTCTCAAAGGACTTAATTAACACGGTGAATCACTGCTTATTGCAGTGTCCTTGTTTGTCTGTCGCTCCCAAAGTTTGTATGATTCATAAGTATGGGAACCCCATTTTATCTAGCTCTATATTCCAAATGCTTGGCTCAGTGTCTGCTGCATGGGATGCACTTTAAAATAAATCATGAAAAGAGCAAGTGCACAATTGTAAGAGTGAGTGGGTGGCATGCAGTCTGATGGGAGAAGAGCAGAGTGCAATGGAGACCCCATAGAGGGAATAAAAACTGATGAGTACATGTTCAGTTTGACCTATCATGAGACATCCAAAAGTAAATGTTTGGAAAGTGATTTCCCTTTTAAGCGTAAGAGTCAGTGGAGAGAAGTGGGATGGAGGAAGAGAGATTCCCCTATAAGGACAGTAGGGAGTGTTAGAGGTGAAAAGAGACTATCACTCCTGAGGGATGGGTTCGGGAGGGATCTGCTAAGGGAAGGCTTTACAGCAAGGCTATGGAAGGCAGTATTCACACGTGCAGATTTTCAAACATGCCCATCCCCCTCAACCGTGGAGGTAGTGTCCAGACCTGCATAGTCCAACAGAAACATAATACAAGCCTCATTAAAATGACATAAATCATTTTAAATTATCTAACAGCCACATTTTAAAAGACAACTTTATTTACTATATATATTCAAAATATTATCATTTCTACATGGAATCAATGTAAAAATTATTAATATGATATTTTACTCTCCTTTTTTCATGCTGAGTCTCAAAATCCAATATTATACATGTCCTAGTCATCTTAAGTTGACTGGCCACACTTGAAGTGCTCACTAACCAGCATGTAGCTCGTAGCGATCATATTGGACAGTGAAGATCTATGCAAGTCAAATATGCAATAAAAAACAAATACTATTTATTCTTATGTAAAAATTAATGTAATGGGAAATGGAATACCTCAACATGCCAACATTTTCCATACATCCTCTCGTGTCTCCTCAAACAACCCATGGAAGTAAATGTCATTATATTATACTTACTGAAGATGCAATAGAATTTCAAAGAGGGTAAAATTTACCCAAACATAAAGCAGTATTTATACATTCAGGATTGAAAACACATTGACGTGCTTCCAAATCCTTCCTCTGATAAAACTTTCACACTATCATTTAGAGAGAGAGAATCACACACACAACCTAACCAGAGATGATTTGAGCTCAGAACCAATTAAATTATTTTTATTCTCATTTATCTTTATATGAGGTCATGGAAGCCTGAACATGCAATATTCTGAGCCAATCCCCCTACAAGATTATTTCAGATCCATGATTCACTTAAATATTCATGAAAGCAGGATTACTAGTACCATTTTTCTCACAGAGCTAATTAAAGTTTTAGAGTTGAGTTTTTTTATTTGGAAAATAAGAATATTCTCTGTTGGGGCACCTGGGTGGCTCAGTTGGTTAAGCGTATGACTTTGGTTCAGGTCATGATCTCATGGTTTGTGGGTTCAAGCCTCGCATCAGGCTCTGTGCTGACAGCTCAGAGCCTGGGGCCTCTTTCAGATTCTGTGTCCCCCTCTCTCTCTCTGACCCTCCCCAGCTCACGTTGTCTATCTCTCTCTCTCTCAGAAATAAATAAAACGTTAAAAAAAGAGAATATTCTATGTCTTACTTATCTTCAGAATTTTTAAAATGAGGACTCCCCCAAAAAAGAAGGATGGGAAAACATTTCATTTCAACAAGTTTTTTTATGAATTTTCATGATCAGGATTTATGATTTTTACGAATTTTCCTGAATTTGTGTTCCTGAATCCTATAATTGTCTGTAGGTTTTGAAAGGCTCTGTCGACATGGAGGAGGACACTTAGGATGAGCACTGGGTGTTATATGGAAACCAACTTGACAATAAACTATTTAAAATAAAAATTAATTAATTAATTAAATAAAAAAAGAAAAGAAAGTCTCTGTCCAATGAGCTATTCTGTGATGTAGCAGTCAGGGAGCAAGTTCCAGAAGCTCGGATATCTTACTTTGACTTTGGAGATGCATGTAGAAAACTCTGAGAGTGAAAGACATTTCAGGAGAGACATCTTGAAGCTAATGGAACCTCTCTTCTCCTCAGGGCTTGTCAACAACCTGGTGGAATAACCGACACTTGCAACATCACGTAAAAACAAACGTTTACCCCAAAGACCCAGATATTGATATGGGTGCATTGTTCCTGCTTGGAGAATTGCAACCTGTCAAGGTATATTTAGAACTCCTGAGCACACGAGAAATGTTCCCAGAAGTGATTCCTGGAAACGTCTATAGTCTTGTCCCAGAAAGATGGAGATGGGGGATCCGACTTTGAGTACCTTCTCAGAGCATGCCATCTTCTTTACGTCCAAGATATAGACATGAAATAACTGAATTTGAGGCTGTACAAATAGAAGGATATGTAGGCCACGTGATTGTATGACCTTAAAGGATGTACCGCCAATCTCCTACAGCAGGAAATATGATACCTTGTATTACCCTGCTTGAGCAATCCTGGTGACAGAACAGATCCCTGCCCAGTGGCCATCACTACCTCTGAGGCAACATAGGTTACTGTGAAGTAGTGAAACCAGAGGACTAATGTTGGCAATTATTCTCCAAAATTTAACGAGAATATGGAGACATTCTCTCAGAAAACATGTCAGTATTTTCAATAAGCACTAAGTCACAAATATCTGAATACCTAGCCATCTCAACTAATTCTAGCTCAGTAAGAAAAGTCTGTGCTGATGTTTTTCACTTCATGTTCATTTGGTTCATTTATACATGAACCACAGCCCAAATACTTTGTATGATATTTAGAGACTTCACCTCTCATTTGGATTTGCTAAACAATAGAAAAAGGAGGGGAAAAGTCAACTCCAGAATTTGTCAGTTGTTGATTTTTTTTAACCTCAACTTAAAAGCATCATGTAAAGGACTATTACCAAAATTTAAAGGACAAAGTCTTACTTAAAAAAAGGAGGTACAAAGATACCTACAGAAAGATCTCTTCTCCACCCCCTGGCCCCCGGGAAAGTGGTAGATCCTGAGAGTCAGGTGCTTGGAAAAAGGCTGCTATTTCCTGAAATAATTTAGGAGTTTTCTTAACAAATAAAAGTGTAGTTCTGTCAGTTGCTGCCTGAACTTTGTGTTAAATAAATCAAAAATTGTTCAAATTTTGAAAATAAGTTTTCCCAGCTTCAGAAGACTGAACCTTCTTCTCCAGCTGAATTAGGAAACAAACTCTTGACTAGATTAAAAAAACATCTCTGGTTGTGATTACAAATCAGTTGCTTTTGACAATAGCTCCACAAATAAGTTGGACTTGCCTAATGATGGTGAAATCCTATGCTCATCAACAAATTATGATAATGCCACTTTGATTTCTTTACTCATCCCCACAGAGCAAGAAAGATTTGTCAGACTGAATTTTTTAAAAATGTTTTTATTTACTATTGAGAGACAGAGAGAGACAGAGCATGAACATGGGAGGGGCAGAGAGAGGAGGAGACACAATTCGAAGTAGGCTCCAGGCTCTGAGCTGTTAGCACAGAGCCCAATGCAGGGCCTGAACTGCAAGTTCATGACTTGAGCTGAAGTCAGACACTTTACCGACTAAGCTACCCAGGTGCCCCTGTCTGACTGAATTTTATGAAGCAGGCTGCCCCTCCCTAGAAGTACCTCCTTAAGGCTATATTCAATATACATACTGCCTCTTCACAAATGATACATTTTATAGCAGCTTTGGGGACATGTTCCTAGGCTTTAGGATTCTGTGTGATATGGTTTCAGAGCCACTGCCTGAGACAATGCTTGAAATTATTTAAACTCTAAAATTCAGTCGTTTTATGTTAAAAAAAAAATGATTCTAGTGAGCCCTGAACTTTTTCTTCCATCTCACTTTACTGCCAATCTTCCTACCATTTTCTTCAAACATTCTATGTCCCAGGTCCTGGACTCATGTTCTGGAAGACTTAGAGCCCTCTTTTGGAGTGATACTTAAAATCAGTCCTCCATCTAAGTGTGCTAGCTCCCAGAAATTTCCACCTGCTCTTTTTCCTGTGTTTCCCACTACTTAAATATCTGGAGGTTTGAGAGTAATTGCAAAGAGCTCTTTTAACATTATCAGCATGCTATTTCTTTTTATCTATGACACTAAGAGAAGGAAAGGTCAACCTTACTATCCAAATATGAAAAGAAGACTATCTGTAGGAAGGGAGGTATCAACAAAATGGAGGAGAGCAGATATCAAGCACTGCCCCTAGTGTTGTGACCAAGTGAACATACAGCAAAAATATAGAGCAGAGGTAAATTTTCATTTTCATTCATTCAACTAAACAGTTGCTGTATGTTTATTAGGTACTGGAGATATAACCATTACCTTTATGGCTCCCCTCTGGGTATTTGCTGTTCTTACGCACTGAGCACAGACTACATTAACTGAGGAGATGCCTAGAAAATTAATCACATTCCCAGCATTAAAAATTTATGTAATATCATTATACCTTAGAAATAATACATCACAGTGTGAGATCCATGATGAGAACACAAAGAAGGAAAGATGGGGCAGATAAGAGGAGCCATACCTATATCTTTTATCACATGACCATTTGATAAATATCTGTTGAATGAATGAATGAATGGAGATGGAAACTGAGCTTCAAGCAGAATTCCAAACACGATAGTTAAAAGGAGCTAGGAAAACTTATCATAAATATTCCCTTTTGATCACCACTTCATTGCATGGAAGGAAAAATGTTTTAAAATGGCTTCCATAGGATTTTTTTAAAAAATCACAAACCCCATAATCAAATGCAAAAATCACCCACATTTAATTAAAGCAAAAAGATTCTGCAGTATTTCCTCTTATTCCCGTTCTGGTTCTTCCTGAGCCTCAAGAGTGACAGCCAATAAATTCTAGCCATATGGCTCTTTCCATAGAGATTTTAAACACACACACAGCAATGTTCTTGAGTATAATGACCACAGGTATTGTTTCTTATTTTAGTTTTATGCTCTCTCCTTTCAGTATGGCAAGATGAAAATCAAATATATCAACTATGAAAAGCAGCACCTGTATTTCTACATACGTGAGTCTCCTTGGAGCCACTTTCCTTATCATCCCATGTCCTTGAAACAAGTGATTGTCAAGCCAGAAGGCACAACAGCAATGCTCTCACAGAGAGACCAGCCCATGTTTTATTGTGAATTGGAAAAGCCATCATATCTTATTTCAAACTTCTTGGGGGTAAAAGTCTGCAAAGGAAAAATGAGAAAGCAAATAAGTATTTTGATTTTAAGGTGCATCTCCTGAGATGCTTCAGGAAGGATGGAAGTCAGGATGGCAATCAGGGGGCCTTACATCTGAGAGTATAATCATAGAAAGGTTAAATACTTATCAAGAAGAAAAGAATAGTGGTTTTTGGATAGGGAGGAAAGAGAAATAGGAAATGAATGCCAAACAATGAGAAAGAATGAAATCTGGCCATGTGTAGCAACATGGATGGAACTTGAGGGTGTTATGCTGAGCGAATAAGTCAGACAGAGAAGGACAGATACCATATGTTTGCACGTATAGGAGGATTATGAGGAATTTAACGGAGGACCATGGGGGAGAAGAAGGGGGTACTAGGGGAGGAGAGGGAGGGAGGCAAACCATGAGAGCCTCTTGAAAGTTGAGAACAAACTGAGGACTGATGGGTAAGGGGGAGAGGGGAAGGGGGGTGATGGGCATGGAGGAGGGCACTTGTGGGGATGAGCACTGGGTGTTTTTGGAAACCAACTTGACAATAAACTACTAAAAAAAAATAAAAAGGAAAAGAATGCCAAAGCACTGACATTATGAAGCCAGAAAATGTAGATGCTCAGGAGTAAAAGGTACCTGAGAGTTACTGTGTGAGAGAAAGCTGGATGCTTCCATGGCCTACATACAGCTGCAGAAGATAATTATTGGACAGATATATATACATATATATACATGTATATATATGTATGTATTTTGGTTTTTTAAGGTAGTAACTAAAACTGCCAAGCAGCAAAATTCATTGATATCCTAGTACAGTCTAAATTTAACATGATAGTTTTTTTTAAAGAAAGCAAATACTCCAACGATCAACTGTAAAGATGTTTTAAAACACAAAGGAAACCTTCCACCATTCAAAGCTTATTTTGTAAGATAAAAGGTTTTTAATTTCTAAACTGCTATCATTTATATAAAAAAACTTTCAAGAAGACCATAACTGTTAAGACCTAGAACTTTGTTCAGTTTCTAAGTGGAGAGTACAGTGGCATTTCTAGTCAACTTTTGAAGCTCAGTAATCCTGTAAATGTTTAAACTCCCACTTTATAAACACAAGTCACTGGAAATCTTTTATGATAGTGGCACAGAATATAATTGAAAATCATATGTAGGTACAAATATATATAAATAGATATGAATGTGGGTTCAAGCTTGAAAGAAAATAGGGTAGCTACATAATTATGATAATTGATAAAAATATCAGTGAGCACCTAGGTGGCTCAGTCAGTAAGCATCAACTTCAGCTCAGGTCATGATCTCACAGTTTGTGAGTTCAAGCCCAGCATCGGGCTCTGTGCTGACACCTCAGAGCCTGAAGTCTTCTTCAGATTCTGTGTCTCCCTCTCTCTGCCCTTCCCCTGCTTGTGCCTCTCTCTCTCTCTCTCAAAAATAAATAAACTTAAAAAAAGATTTAAAAAATATCATAAGCAAAAATGTATTCCTCTTAACCAAAATCAAATTCATGACAACTCAAAAAAAAAACGTTTTCATTGGTAACACAATGAAAGGGAAAGATGATACTGGCACCCAGTGGATAGAAGCCAGTGGTTCTGTTAAACACCCTACAATGCACAGGACAGCCCCTAACAAGAAATTAGCTGGCCCCATGCTTTCAACAATAGCGGAATTATGGAAAGAGCCTAAATGTCCATCAACTGATGAATGAACAAAGATGTAGTTTATATATACAATGACATACTAGTTGGCAATTAGTTGGCATTCTTTATCAATTAGAGAAAGAATGAGATTATGTCATTTGCAGCAATGTGGATGGAACTGGAGGGTATTCTGCTGAGTGAAATAAGTCAGTCAGAGAAAGACAGGTATCATATGTTTTCACTCATATGTGGATCTTGAGAAACTTAACAGAAGACCACAGGGGAAGGGAAGAGAGAAAAAAATAGTTACAAACAGAGAAAGTAGGAGGCAAACCTAAGAGACTCTTACTTAAGAAACTGAGGGTTAATAGGGGGTAGAGGAGAGGGGAAAGTGAGTGATAGGCATTGAGGAGAGCATTTGTTGGGATGAGGACTGGGTGTTGTACGTAAGCCAATTTAACGTAAATTATATTTTTAAAAAAAAACCTTCCATTAAACTAAATAAATAAATAATAAATTAAAACATTTTTAAAAGTTAAAAAAATTTTTTTACAAATAGTTTATTGTCAAATTAGTTTCCACATAACACTCAGTGCTCATCCCCACAAGTGTCCTCCTTCATGCCCATCCCCCCTCCCCCCCACATCCATCAGTCCTTAAAAAATTAAAATTTTTTAAAGTTAAAAAAAAATTAGTTGGCCCCATATGCCAGTAGTTTTGGGGTTGGGAAACTGTTGCAGATTATCTGATTTGCTCAAATGCTGGGCACCAGTAGTCATCTGTAACATGCTTGACCAGGATGGCCTATAGGCTTATTTTTGAGGGAAGGGGGTCAGTTCTCACTGCTGTCCCTTCTACTGCTGGAATTCTGCAACCTCATTCTATGAGAGTCACCTTTTCCTTTTCCTACATGACCAAAAAGAGAAATGAAGACATCGGTGCCCCATTTTGAAAGGTAGCTGATCTCCAGCCTAACCAGCAATGCATTCACATAATAAAAGCTGTTGGAATTGCTTTTCTCCCCTGTCTGTAGTGCTGCAATATGCCCTTAGCTCATGAGGAATGAATAAATGGTGTGGATTCACCGCACGATGCCCACCTCACAAAACTCTCTGCTCTTGGGCTGTTTCATTGTGTCTTTTTCCTTCAAATACCAACGTAGCATCTCAGGTACAAGTAAGTTACACTTAAACTGTCAAAAAGAAACAGAACTGGACATTTTTTGCAGGTGACAGGACAGATTTTATTCAGGCTTCCATAGTAGGGGAAAGGGACTTCAATATAAACTCAGCTCAATTCTGCTGAATCAAAAGTTGGGAGACCTTTTAAACACTGAGTGTGCTACAGGAAATTTCCAGGAGAGCTTGGTGGGAGGGAAAGTTGGTCAGTGTGATTAAGCCATCTGTATCTGCTGCTTGGTGTTTATGAAAGTTAGGTTCCCACCCCCCATACAGAGAGACTAGGAGACAAGGCTCTATCCTGGATGATTATATTCAAAGGAATAACTCCCATGAGCACCTGGGTGGCTCAGTAGGTTAAGCGGCTGACTTCAGCTTAGGTCATGATCTCGTGGTTCCTGAGTTCAAGCCCCATGTCAGGCTCTGTGCTGACAGCTCAGAGCCTGAAGTCTGCTTAGGGTTCTGTGTCTCCCTCTCCCTCTGCCCCTCCCTTGTTCCCACTCTGTCCCTCTTTCTCTCAAAAATAAATAAACATGGAAAAAAATATCAAAGGAATAACTCCCAGGTCCTTGAGAAAGACATTTCTTGGTTGTAGAAGATCCATCTCAAAGACAGAGAAAGAATTTTACAATTGTAAGTTTTCTAAGGAAAAGGAGGTCCAAAGCCTATGGTCAGTTTGGGCTTGAACAAACAGTAAATTCATTTGGCAATGTTGAACTTTCTCAGGCAGAACTTTAAAAAGACTGGGGTCATCCTATAGACATGGCCTTAAGCTGTTAAAAACTATGCTCAAGATGTTTGTTCAAGCATCTTAGTGTGGGGGATGGACAAAATCATTTTTGCTAAGAGTTTGCAGAGTTTGAGAGTCTGCAATGTTGAGACATAGTGGAGAAAGAGGGTGCAACTAAAGTCTGACCAAGGACAGAGTTGTCAAAACTCAGCAGGATTCCAACACACTCCTTTGAGCAGCTTCCCCGGTGCCAGGGAAGAAGCAGGTAAATAACCATCTGGTCAGGAAGTGAGTATAGGTTTTAATACTTCTGCCACCTGGACATATTGTGACAGAGCCTAATCCTAACGATTGTCATGGCCTGATGGATTGATTCCATGGACTTTCAGGAAGTTTGAAAGTTCACAGCAGAAGCTCTTCTGGGTTGCCTCCCTAAGAATGACTCAAATCTTCAAATCTTCTACTTCCTCAGTGTCCTTGAGAAAGTTTGAAACAAAACCTGGTTCAACCTCAGAGACTCAAAGAGCCCCGTAGATTCCAGGATGTGGTTGTGGATCTCCACTTTGCATCTCTCCTCAGGAGCAACATTCTAGGAGTGGCATGTTAAGGAGATAGACTCCTGCTTATTTGCATTGGCACATTCTACTCACTTACTCTCCATCTTTTTTGTGTTCTTTTTCAGTGGGGCTACCCCTCCTCATGCCGGTATATTTCAATCTGGAATCCATCCAACTGATGTGTTTCCGAAGATGTTGGAGGGTGAGTAATGATACATCCTCTGAAGCTAGCTCTAGTTAAAAAAAAGGGAGGGGGATGTGAAAATGTGTGACACCTTCGAGATGTAGGTTCCTTGAATAATAAGACATAAGATTTCGTCAGTTCATGAAGGGGCCCTAGACCTGTGAAGAGGAAATGAACTTGTGTCCAGGGCATTTAACTGTCAATCACTTTTCACTGCAGGACATTGCCTGGGTCAGCAGCTTTTACATCCGCCATTTCATCACATTTGGTCCTTTCTATGGAATCTTTGGAACCATATTGCTCATATATTTCATCAAGTAAGAAAGCAAGAGTATTCTTTTATTCCTGTAACCCAGATGATCCTGTTATCTCCATTATCTGAGATATTTTTGATTAGCAGAAGATTGGGATACCACACCTCATTCTGTAACTGAGATATTTCACAAAAATATTTTTCTAAACATTGAAATAGTTGAATAAGAAGAGTTCCTTGGAAAAAAAAATTGCCCTATCTTGTCCTTTCCTTCTCACATGCTTAATCCCAAATTGCAGAATTCCATCTAATATCCAAGTTCTTTAGAATTGCAACTGACTGGATACCATAATCCTTGCAGAAAATAATGGAAAGACAAGAATTTTTAATGTTATTTTATGGCTAGAGATATTCCCAAAACCAAAATGCCTTCAATTAAATAGCTCTCCTCAACTTCCCAATTTATTCCTCTCCATTTCTTTCACATAATTATTCTAAACCCTACATAATAACAAGGATACTGACAGCTAATATGCATCACACACTTTTATAAAGGATTAACCTGCATTATCTTTGTTTGATGTAATCCTTGCACCTTCCTGTAATGTAGGCAGCATCACTTTCATTAATCTCAGAGAGATTAAATCATTTATCAAAGTTATAGAGCAAGTAAGGGCCAGTGGCAGTGCTAAACCAGAATTTGAGCCAAGTTCTATCTGATGGCAAAGCCAAGGTTGTCAATCACTTTGCATATGCCCTGAGTATCTTTTGATCCTTGCTACAATGTTGCAAAAACTTTGGGGTCACTGCTCCCATACATTGGAGTGCAGGATTGGTCATTTGATCAAAAGCCTGTAGTGTGTCATATCTCTACTTATAAACGGCCTCCAAAGAGGAAAACAAATGACCACCATTGATTCCCTTCCATTTCCTCCAGAGCTCAAATAGATCTGGCTGCAGTTGTGCAAGCCCAGTGTTGGGAACTGAAACACTCCAAGAAGTCATCACTTTCTCCTTTTATTCTCTGAAAGCTTATTGAAAGTCCTTGGATAACATTTGTTACCCAGATGAGCCACATACCAATGAAAATGAGCAAAGAAGAGAACCGGGACTGGCTCAGCACTCAGGTAATGGTGGAGTTCCTGGAAAAGATCCTTCAAACTATACTGATTTAGACTGTTCCTTCCACAGATAATAATAATTTCTACCATGGAATGCTTGCCAGGTGACAGGCACTGTCCACTGTTTTGCATATAACTACATAACACAGGTGCTATGATTATTCCCACTTTACAGATGATAAAATTAAGGCATGAAGAAGCTGACATCACACAGCTAATAAGTGGTAGAAATCAGGTTTTAAACCTAGGCAGTCTGATTTCAGAGTCTTTGGTCTAAAGTGTCAGGAAAGGGCTTCATGGGTGGCTCAGAGGGTTGAGCATAAGATTCTTGGTTTCAGCTCAATTCACGATCTCACAGTTCATGAGATCAAGCCCCCATTGGACTTAAGAATCTCTCTCTCCCTTTCTCTCTCCCCTTCCCCTGCTTGCTCACTCGTTCGCTCGCTCGCTCTCTCTCTCTGTCCTCAAAATTAACAAATAAACATTTAAAAAGTGTTTTAAAGATCAGTAAACTATAGTCCAAGAGCCAAATTCAGCCCCATGCCTGTTTTTGTAAATTAAATTTTATTAGAAAACAGTCATGCTTGTATATTTACATATTCTCTATGATTGCTTTCATGCTACAAAATCAAAAGTGAGTAACCATGAGAGAGAATCACTTTACAAGAAATGTTTGCTGACCAGTCCCCTACAGAACACAACCTCTCAAGTGAATCTGATATCCTAGAATTACAAAATGAATTTTACACCTAGAAGGCCCCTGAAATTCACCCTATTTCGTTGTATAGATAGAAAGGTCTAGAGAGAAGATATGGTATGCTCTCTGAACATGCTCTTAATGATTAACAGAGTGATGATCAATACAGAATACCCTTGCCTCCTAAACCTTCCAATGGCCATGCCATGATTAACTGGAGAATCCAGTCATTATACCACTTCTTTCTCCAAACTCATTCCCAAATTCAGTGGACCTTCCATTAGGGCTAGAGTATTTGTGACTTTTTGGTCTCAAAACCACCTTATGCTCTTAAAAGTTATTAAGAGCCTCAAAGAGCTTTTTTCTATGTAACATATAGCTATTGATATTTACTATATTTGAACTTAAAACTGAGAATTTTAAAACATTTATTAATTAACTTTAAAATAACAAGAATAAAACCAATACATGTTAAACATCAGACTGATGATACCACCCCGTGTTTAGAAGCCTCTGGAAAACAAAATCCACTGTACAAGCCTGAGAGATTGGAAATTTAAAAGGTAAATACTGTTTTAGAAGTATTCTGGAAATAGGTTTGACCTTGCAGATCCCCTGAAAGGATCTTAGAGAACCTAAAGTGCTCTGAAATACACTTTGAGAAACATTAACATAAAACAACCACAAAAATTATATTCAAAATGGCAACCAACCCAAATGGAATTAAACCTTAGAAAGGCATTGAGTAAAATGAGATTCATAAGGGTTCTTAATCTTGGAAGTCTAGGGAAGCCCATGAACTCCTTCTCAGGATAATAGTTTTAAGTTCGTAAAACAAAATACATTAGATTGTAAAGGAAACCACTTAAAATGAAATGCACTTCTATGCTCAGAACTCACAGCTGGGATAATTGAATGCCTTACTTCCCATTTAGAAGCCCTTCAAGTGTACTCTATGCAAATGGTTTTCTAACCCTTACAATGTCTACCAAAATCTTATAATCCCACTTCCCATCTGCCAGAGTCCTCATTCATGACAGTTTACCCTTCTGTATCCAAGGGCTGATGGTCATTTAGTCCCACATACTTCTTCATATCTATTACTTTCTATAAACTTCTTAGCAAAATATCTTAGCACCTTTCTAAATTATAATCTTCTTGAGACCTGGCAAGGAATATCTTTTATATCCCTCTTAGTTTCTTACACAAAATAGGAACTTGTTGCATGATTGACTTATTAAGGGAATAAATAAACATCTTTTTTTTTTTATTTGAGAGAGAGAGAGAGACAGACACACAGAGAGAGGTCACAGTAAGGGAGGGGCAGAGAGAGAAAGAATCCCAGGAGGGGCAAAGGGAGAGAGAGACAGAGAAGCAGGGCTCACCCAAGCAGAACTCATGTTCACCTGATGCGGGGCTCAGGCTCACACAGTAGGATTCCATCTCATGAACTGTGACATCATGACCTGAGCCAAAGTCAGATGCTTGACGACTAAGCCCCCAAGCACCTCGGGAATAAATAAACATCTTCTTTGTTTGACACTTGGGCTCACTTACATCTTTTTTTTTTTATATAAATAGTTTATTGTCAATTTGGTTTCTATATAACACCCAGTGCTCATCCCCACAAGTGTTGGGCTCACTTACATCTAATGTAAGCTTTTTCTTTGCAGGTCTTGGCCACCTGTAATGTTGAACAGTCTTTTTTCAATGATTGGTCCACGGGGCACCTGAACTTCCAGATCGAGCACCAGTAAGTGATAGAAACAGTTCATGGTAAAAGGCAAAGGCTGTCACTTATAGCAGCTCTCCCATACTGTCCAGAGAAAGCCCTAAACTCAGGATTTCCAAGGGAAAAAAATGAATCAGAATCTTCTCAAGTCTATTAACAATGGAAAGGAGGTGTAACAATTGTGAGTAAATGAAGGGAAATCTTGGAAAAATACCAAAGACTCCGTTTCTAGATTCCTAAGGACATAGAAATTGGTGATTATTTTTTTAATATGGGGTTTGTTGGCAAAACCCAAGAAAAATCATGATGCTTGTCTATCCAAGTTGTGTTGAAATGTAATTAAGATTTAATTTTAATCCCATTCTGTATCTACATCTTTGGAAGCAACGTTTACAATAATCAATAATGAAATCCAGCTCCTACTGAAATTTCCAGGTGATATCTGGAAATACTTTACCAATAGTCAGTTAGACAGACATACGCCAAAGAAAGAGAAAATGATAGTACTTTGAAAGCCAATCTCTCCAGAATATTCAAGGGAGAGACTTTCCACATTCGTTTCATCTAAGCCAAATCTATGATAGACAGAGAAGAGAAAAGATCTTATACCTCCTCATGGGATTTTCTTATCCTTTCTCTCATGTTAGTCCTTTAAAATCTCAGCAAAACAAGAAAAATTATTACTCATATTTTATCAAAGAACTTCATCGGTTTGATTAGTGAAAGCCTTGGATAAAACTCATCTCTCTTCTTATTCTTATCCTAGAACTTTACCCGATATGCCTTGATGAAAACTTACTGAATACTCAACTATTCATTGTACAGGAGATAGATGTACATACAGAAAGAGACAGAGACAGAGTTGGGGTGGGGGCAGTTATCTCTAGTTCTCTAGTTAACTCAAAATGGTAGAAAACCCCATACTTACATTTGATGTGGCCCAAAATAAATATATTTTATAGAGGTAAGTCTCTTAGGTCTTCCGAAACAATAGCCACCCACAGGGCATGCAGAGGGTTATGAGATAAGATTAGAATGTTTTTGCAAGATGTTTTCGAGCTTCCTGGAGCAGAAGTTTTGTACAAGGTCTGCATTGCTAATAGAGTTTTATCTAGTAATAGGGGAACAAAAACTCCTTCTTTTGATCTAAGTTGTATATCTCCTGTCTCGTTTCCCTAGTCTGTTTCCCACAATGCCACGCCATAATTATCACAAGGTGGAACCCTTGGTGAGGGCACTGTGTGCCCAGCATGGACTGCAGTATGAGAAAAAGCCCATGTTTGAAGCATTTGGAGATATTGCCAGGTAATTACAGAGTCTCTCAGCTCACAGCTCTCATTTTCCTCTCACTGCTAGTCCCCAGACTACTCATTGGCTTGTGAATCATTTACCCAACAGCTCTTTGTTATGGGGCATCTGTATGCCCAGCATGAACACGAGACCTTTCAGGGAACATCAACAATGCAATGATAATAAATAATGCTTGCCATTTACCTATTGTCTTCTAGATACTTCTTAGTGAAAATGACTAGCTACTCTACTAAATCTCAAGCTTCTTAAAACCAGAGCTGCATGTTATTTGTCTCTGCATCCCCCCACAGAACCTTGACATGCTTTAGAATCTGGCCCAGAGATGCAAACTTAGATGCCTATAGGGTCCAGGGACATAAGTGTGTGAACGACCAAGAGCAGAGAAGCCTGCAGGGACTGAAAATCTGTACTCATGTTGATGCAATCACAGCCCTCTAGAGCCTCTAGAGAACATGAACAGCCCATGATCTGGGTTTAATAAGTTTCTTTTTCTTTTAGCATTAAAAAAAAACAAAAACAAAAACAACAGTGTCTTGAATGATGCCAACAAAGCCAAGTCTAGCCTGATCAGACCCTGGGTGATGCTCTAGCTTCAAACTCTCTACCACTCCCAACTTCCTTTTCTGCCCTCCAGAGACCTAGCCTCTCTTCAATTGCTACAGAACTCCCTGCCTCTTGCCATTCCCTGTCCTTTGTCCCCTTGGTTTTGCCTAGAAAGTTCTTCCAGTCTGTCACCTTCCCTCATATCACCTTGTTGATTTTCATTCCCTCTCCAAGGTTCATAAATGCCTTTTCCCTATCTTGGTCTTCCTTCAACCCCAAGACTCAATCTGTCACCTGCTCTTGCAGTACTTGCTTCTCTTTGCTTTATCATTTATCACAATCATTATTAAATAATATCATGGGTAATACATTATTTAAAATATGTCTCCCAAGAGGGGCAAATGGGTGATGGGCATTGAGGAGGGTACTCGTTGGGATGAGCACAGAGTGTTGTATGTAAACGATGAACCACAGGAATCTACCCCCAAAGCCCAAAGCACATTTTACAGACCGTATGGTAGTCAATCTGACAATAAATTATAATATATATATCTCCCAAGTTAGACCAGGAACTCCATATAGGTGGAGCTTATGTCTCTCCTACTCATTGCTGTATTTCCAGAACATAGATAAACATCTTTCACATTATAAAATAGGATGGTTGGTAGAAAACAGGATGAATTGACAGAGAGGTATGTGCTTTATCTTACAGAGACTCAGAGAAGCTTTTTTCTTTAATGCTAGAGTAAAGGAGATTGATGGTTTAGGACACAAAAGAGAATAAAATGAAAGAAAAACTCAACCACCTCCCTAAAGAAAAGGTGAATTGATCTGCTAAAACTCAATGCAGTGTACTTGACTCCTTCCACTAGGCAACAGAAAAGACGTCTTTCAGATATAGCTGAAAATGAAAATATTGCCTTGAACCAAGCAAAAGAGCACATGTTCCATGGAGCAGCTCCTTTTACATTAAAGTCTCACCTACTGATGATGTTGTTTCTCCCTCCCACAGGGCCTTGAAGAAATCTGCAGCCCTCTGGATGGATGCTTACTACGAAACAGGAAGCAGAGTGTCAACCTCGACACACATGTAGATGGACCTCTGAGGTGGATGAGTGAATGTGCAAGATATCTTTCCTGCTTACTTGCTGGTGCCATGGGCATACCTGGTGTGTCAAGAGTGCGAATTACAAGGAGACATGATAACCCCTTCCCTGAAGATTTTCTCTACAATTACAAAGCAAAGGAAACTCAAGATGGTTGGGGTGCCAAAAGGGAAATGGGAGCCAAATTCTTTTATTTCTTCTATATAGAATCTTGAAATTATTCCTATCAATAGACCTAATCAGATCATCTCCATCACTGGGACATATACAGGGGAACAAAGAAAAGTCTTACTAATGAAACAGGTATAGGAAGAAGTGGATCAAAGGAGAGACATTTGATGGACATTTGGGAAAGCAGCACAATTGCTCTTAGAAGAGAATAGTGTATTTAGGAAATTTATGCTTAAGTGCAAATCTATGCTTATTCCTTATTTAAATGATTGAGCCTCTTTTTCTTTAAACATTGGCTATAATTAACAATAAAGTCTCCTTAAATATTTTGATCTCTACTTTGGATTTTCATTATTATACCTGCATATGTGTGCAGGTGTGTAATTAGTGTGCATATGTATTTTGCTTCCAAACTATAAAATCTCTTAAAGTAGTACCCTGCAACCAAGCCCAATAGCCACTGATTAAGGAGCTCAGTGTTCTGTATTTAACGTTAATGGTCTTCTACTGAAGCATAAAACATCGCTGAGTATAAAATTGATTTCCCTAATGCCTGGCCACCATAGCTGAACTACCGTATGTTAATATTGAGTAACTCTGATGAAGGAAAGAGATTTGGTTTCTGTAATGTAGACCCCAAGCTGTATCAAGACATTTTCCCAGCTTAGGCTGAATTCACCATGTCTTAGGACAAGACAGTTTCAATGCTAGAAGGATGAGTAGACACACTCAACACCATACTGATGTCTGGCTTTTTGCTTTTGCTCATCTATTCATGGGGTCGTATTAGACCTCACCGTAGCTGTGAGGAGGGAAAGCCAACAGTATAAACTTCCATCTGCAGCTCCAGGCAAGTCAGCATTATGGCCGTATCTTTTGTCTGAAATGCTACCAGGAAGCATTTCATTCCCTTATTCCAAACCCTGCAAAATAATCTTTTTCTTTGCTTCTTAATTAAATCCCTGGGTTCAGGAGCAAAGACCCTTTGGCAGAAGTGAGTGAGAAAGAAGCTACGGAGACTGAAGTAGAGGGAGCAGGGGTCAGAATGATACAAGATGGGGCAATGAAGGACAGTACATGAGGTTACTCACAGGTCTAGGGGAGTTAACCATGTATATCAAAGCTAAGAAACAAGGGACTTGTTGGGAGGAAGGAGCACTGAAATGGTAATAATATTGAACAGGGATGTTTAGCTAAGGATAGAAAGAAAGGTTTGTTGATTTCATGATTGTTCATCATATAAGGCCTAAATGGATGTGGGAAGAAGCCACATTCCACATGCTCGTGGATCTATAAGTGATTTCTCCTGCCTGAAGTCGGAGCTGCAAGTGGGTGTGGGGTACAGTGGTTGGTTTTCTCTGCCTCATCTAGTCTAACTCTCAGAGATGCTCAAGTGCTGTTTCTTCCCCTGGTCACTACAAATAGCAATCAGACTTCTCCCTGGAGAGACTCACTACCTCAGAGGCATCCCTCTCTCAGTGTTGAGACCAGGCCACCTGGCAGTTGCCCAAATGGAGGTAGTTACTGTGGGACTGAATAAATCAGAGAGATTTTGACACATTTCGTAGGGAAAACATGTGAAATCAGTTCAAGCAAGTCACTAAGTAAGGATAAAAATTTATGGTGGACTAAACTTTAAACTGCTTAGTGGGTCACAAGACAGCATGATAGTCATTTTCATGAATTATCTCAACTGATTTCTCTCCTTCACCCTGTGCTGACTGGTATTTGTAGGTGAGGCATGTGACTACATTTTTAACTTGTCAAACAAGCCTGCTGGAGAAGGAGAACCAAAGCCTGTTATGTTCACAGCCTCCAACAACACTGAGCACTGAGGGAGAATCTAGATGGTCAGTCTTCAGGGTGTTTCATTTCTGTCCTCTCTGCTCTATGGCCACATGAATGAAGATGGCTTGCTTGGCCAGACTTCTGCCCCATTAAACTAAATGACTCCTGAGAATTGAGTTACAGCCTTCTCTGAAACTTTTCAATGGATTTTCATGGCTCTTGGAATAAAGAGCAAACCCTGAGATGGCCAACAGACTTTGGTGCTTTGGCCCTTCCCTATATACCCTCTCCTATCTTGTACCACTATGGCCCTGGTTCCCTCTGCTTCAGCCCCGGTGACTTCTTCCAGTCATCACACTTCCTCTGTCACAGGGTCTTTGCTCCTAAGCTCAGTGTCTGAACCCCTCTGTCACCTTGCCCTCACTTCTTCTCACCTGGTTACCTGCCACTCACCTGCTGATTTCAGGTCAGCCTCCCCACTAAGTCAAGGCCTATTGTGATATGCTCTGTAGAAATTACTACAGGCAAAATTTTACCTCCACTTGTTTGATTCTTTAATTTGTTTCTCTTCCAAACAACCCTGCAATATCCATGAGAGTAGGGACTGCCTGATACGTTGGAGACACACAACAAAGATGTATGGAAGGAAGAGAGGTAGAAAGGTAGAGAGAAAAGGAAAGGAGAAAGACAAGTATGTGAGTGTAATTCTTTCTAATTTGATAGAAAGGAAAAGTTTGTCATATATATGAAAAGAATTTCTATATTCTAACCCTGAATTATTAAAATTATTATAAAAACATAAGAACATCTATCAAGCAGTAAGTACTGAGCTACCTCCCTTCATGGGCATTATTCGATTTAATCCTCATAATAGCCCCTTGGCTATATAGGGCAAGTCCTATAATTAATCTCACTTTATAGATCAAAAAACTTGAGGCTTAGGCAGCCCAAACAACTTGCCTAATGTCCCAGATAGGAAATCTGGAGTAGTTTCAGACCTAGATTTCTGACTCCATAGTCAACGCTCATTAATTCCCATGCCAAGAAATTCAAAGTGAAGGGGAATTAAGTAACATTAGAAGACACAGACAGTTGGCATTTCTGGAATAACTTCAATCATCTGCCAGGAGCTGACAGAACAGGAATTAAGATAGTTATTTTTTTATAAATACACCCCAGTTTATTTTTTTTTTTAGTTTATTTATTTTTGAGAGAAAGAGAGCAAGCGGTGGAGGGGCAGAGAGAGAGAGAGAGAGAGAGAGAGAGGAAGGGAGGGAGGGAGGGAGACATAGAATCCAAAGCAGGCGGCTCTGGGCTCTGAATTGTCAGCACAGCCTGATGCAGGGCTCAAACTCAGGAAATGCAAGATCATGACCTGAACCGAAGTTGGACAGTCAACCAATGGAGCTACCTAGGCACGCCAAGGTAGTTATCTTTTCAACTCAGCAAGAACAGGTGCCTAGGATAAGGGAAGGCTGGAGAAGCATATGACAGACACAGCACCGACTCAGAAAGGATTCCTGTTGACTCACTTCTACTCACCAATCCTAAAAGAGTATCCTGCTCTTAAAACTTTCAGTTGGGAGTAGTAAGCTGAGATGTAAGCTTTCAGGAATGACAGACACTGCATTAACTGTAGAGGAAAAATATAAAGAAATGGAATGGAGCTTTTGTGGTGATTTAACAAGAATTCAGCCAAAGGAAATTCACTTTCCCCGTGGCTATCTTCATGTGGTCATCCCTAAACCCTATTTCCTCAAAAGCATCTTTCCTCTTGGTAAAATGGGGCAGTGAGAATTTGCATGCACTGTCAGCTGGGCATTAAGTAAGGGTGACTGGAATAGAAGTCAGAACCCAGATTCTAATTTCAGCTCCTTAATACCCTACAATGAAATTGGCCAGGTCATTTACGTCCTCATACCTCAATCTGTGAAATAGGTGTGGTGCCTAGTATTAGCTGGCCTATCAGTAGCATAGCATGGTTGGGACAAATGAATAAGGCAAATGGAATAGCTTCATAAGCTGCGAACACCCATTCAGATGCTTATTACTGCTATTTTGTTATAATGAAGTTCCTCTTATCCCAGACCCACCAAAAGCAAGAGGGCCACCGAGTCACACAGAAACACAGGATAGACAGACACTAAATCATTTCAATGACAGTAACACCTTTCCCCAAGTAAGAAGCCTATGAGTCACAAGTGAGAAAATGATTTCTCCTGTTGTAACAAGTAACACCCAAGAGGCACCTTCCCCATCTGGTTTTATTAAATCCCCTGGGACCAGCATAAATCTCCAGATCTCCGGCTGGAGGGATAGTAGAGAGCCAGAGGTTCTACTTATCCCAACTTCTGGTTAATCATAATAGGACAATTCTCACTGTTGAAAATCATACCAAATATAAGTATACTGCTTGTTCCTGGCTCGGTATGTTATTTAGGACTGTCTTGACTATTTCCATGCTAATCATCAAACTTAAAGATACAGAAAGTAGAGAGAGGGCAAGATGGCGGAGAAGTAAGGAGCTCCATACTTGCACTCGCGCCCATACATCACAC